TATAGACAAACTATGTACAGTTGTTTGAATTTAAAATATAAAAAAATTTTTAAAGGCCTTACCGATCATGATCACGTTGCCGATATAATTATACAAATCAATTATATATTCAATTATATTAATCACTATTTACCAACAGTATTGTCTTTTTACTTAGAGTTTTTGGTACAAGCCGATTTTTTAGTATCTCTATTTYGATTTTAAATGGGCATCATAAAACAATAAATATTTATTACAGATCATTAAATGGTTTCAGCAACCATAAATCTACGGCCTTTAAGAATTCATGAAATACTTTATACACTGCATAAGATTATTACAACTAATTAATGGTAAAAAATTGAGAATGGCGTTGTCCTTGTCATCTRTCTACCCATTAATTTGTTAGTGATATATTTCCAWGTATTTGACAATTATATACAGTTGTACTAATTTTTTTTTGTTTATAGATCTGTTTGCCAATTAGTTCATWACATAACTTAGATATTTCAAACCACATATTCAAATAATTGTTTTTTGATTTTGATGTTAAAAATATATATGCTACTGGTACATAATAATTGTAAGTATAGACATGTAATGTATAGGTATAGTTGACAAAAAAACTTGGGACATTACGAAAATGTTCCGTCTCCAAAGACATTTTTAGATTTACACAGGAGTTGTAAATTGTCACGACAAGTTATAATAACAATTGACTTTTGTTGATTTACAAAACAAAATTGTTGATCATTGTATTTAATTGTTGATTGCATATCATATAATTGATCAAATGATTCTTTTTGTGATTTTAGTAATGTTGGGTACTGTTGTTTACGACTACGATAAATTGATCGCCTAATTAAATTAATATCAGAATAGTTAAGTTCATTCTGAAGCCCTGACTTATCTACTAATAATTCTTTCCTAATAATTTTATTAGGKTTTTCATGTGTTTGTTCAGTAGCTTTTTTTTTAGAAGAACTTCGAATTATATCTATAGCTAAAGATCTTTTTGTACTCGGCTCATGATTATGTAAATGTGTTGTCATCTCTAATATATTTTTTACATTACTATCAATTAAGACACTTACTTTACATTTTTTGTTTGTACAACGAAATCGAATTGTTTCATTTTGAAGAATATTTGATTCTGTGTATTTGTACTGTTCGATAACTATACATCTTTTACCTCTTTTCGTAGTTAAAATATGTTCAATTTTT